TTCTCTTCCCAGCTTGCTTTTATTCCGTTAAGTGCCTTTGTGGCCAAGTCACAGTCCTGGCAGCTAATGGCATGACTCATGCAATGAACACACCTGCTCAGACTGGATTCAAATCAGGAAATATTGGACATTCTCCTTGGAACTATATTTATAGCAAATGGAAGCTGTCAAAACAAAACTGTTTATTAGCAACATAGCTTGGGTCTCCTAGAAAACAACTCAAAAGTAGTGCTCCTCGGGACTCTGTCTCTGTTGAAGTAAGAATAACTTCACTCTCAACCAACATGACAAAGATTTCCATGAGAGCACTGGCTGCTATGATACACCAAACTTATTTTTCCAGTTAATGTGTACATGTCTTTACTCAGCCAAGGAGCTGTGATAACAGATTTACCTTTGACGACAGAGCTGTCAGTGTGAATTCCTTTTGCTTTCTTCTTCTTCTATCTCATTTCAGACTCCAGGGCTTTGTACATAGCCAGGATTTCAGTTACCGTGGGATATTTCCAAATTTAATCTCCAGCCAAGGTGTGGATATTTATGAGTATTTCATAATTCAGTCAGCTTACTAGATATAACCATTTGATTTTAACACAGATACCTAAGTCCAAAACTTAACTTTTTAAAAATTTCTTTAACCTCGCTTCTTTCTCTGTGTTCTCTAGTTTGGTTAGAAACACCACTAACTAACTAAGCAAGACTTTTTCTTTTTTGAGACGGAGTTTCGCTCTTGTTACCCAGGCTGGAGTACAATGGCACGATCTTGGCTCACCACAACCTCCGCCTCCCAGGTTCAAGCAATTCTCCTGCCTCAGCCTCCCAAGAATCTGGGACTACAGGCGCGTGCCAGCATGCCCAGCTAACTTTTGTATTTTTAGTAGAGACAGGGTTTCACCATGTTGACCAGGATGGTCTCTTGACCTCGTGATCCCCACCTCGGCCTCCCAAAGTGCTGGGATCATAGGCGTGAGCCACCGCGCCCAGCTTAAGCAAGACTTAATAATCATTCTTTCTTCCTCTTCCTCCTTGTCATTGTCATTTCTACATGCCCACTGGTTTCACTCTTCCATACAGGCACCTCCTAAACCCTTTGGGACTGGTTTCCCTGCCTCCCTTTCCCAGGCCTGCCCGTCCCACTAGAGGCTAAGCTATCTCTCACTAGAAGATTACAACAACCTACTACGGTGACTCAGCCCTCGGAACATGGACTCTGTGTTGGTTGGTTGGTTCATGTATAAAACCCAGGAAAGTATTTGCTTGTCCTTTTCTTCCAACTGACCTTGTGCTCAGGACAACTGTTATGTTTATATGACCACTTTGCTGATTTTTGTTGTTGCTGCTGTTGTTGATGACCCCCTCAGGCAGGAAGTCCATCTAGGGAAGCCACTGTCTTTGTGAAAACTTCACAATGCAGCATATGGGACCAGCATCTCAGACTTGGCAAATGTCAGCCCCAACCCCTATGTCCCCCAGATCTGTATTTCCAGCATAAAGGGGCTGGTTGGAGGAAACAGACTTCATTCAGACATATCAAAGGAACGTGAATGCCGCAAAGAAAATAGAGTCCTATGACTAGTAGAGAGGGAAGACATCAAAGAAAACTGTCATCAGAGACTGCATCCAGTTGAGCAAACTCGCCTTTCAACTTAGTAAGGGTAATTACTATGCATGTGTGTGTACTCACCAGGAGTAAAATCTCCAGGGACACAGAGGAGACATTCCAGGTCCCTTGCCCTGGCCCCCTATGGCTCTTTGCACTGTGTCTTCTGTGTTAAAATGTACCTGAAATTTGTCTTAAACAGGTATGTTAGGGCACACAACACAGAAATAATTGATATGGAAGAAGAAGATTTTGCTCACAGTTCCCCAGAAACAGGAAGTGCTCTATGCTGGAGAGGCACCAGGCTTGGCCAGGAGGCACAGGAGGCAGAGGGAAAAACATGAGAAAGTGCTTTTATTGTGGTTTTTACAGGAAGAAATGGGCAAGGCAGAGTAAGCTGCTTAGAATTTTCTAGTTTAATTCCCATAAACTCTGGGCAGAAGGGCTGTCTCTAGTTATCTGCTACTGACCCTGGGATGACTAAGGCAGGGGAACATTGCCTCCTGTAGTATAAGAGTCAGGCAGAGGAGGTGGTACGGAACACAGACTATGGATTGGTTGGTTTGTGTATAAAAAGCCCACTCCCAGGAGAGTCTTTGCTGTCTGTGAAAACTATTTGGCCCTGAGAGCAGCAATCTCGCCCTAGTCATGAGTCCCTATCTTAGTCCATTTTGTGTTGCTATAACAGAATACCAGAAAGAGAGTAATTTATAAAGAATAGAGGTTCACTTAGCTCATAATTCTGGAGGCTGGGAAGTCCAAGATCAAGCAGCTGTATCTGCTGAAGCTGTATCTTCTTGCTACATGATCCCATGGTATCCTATGGTGGAAGGGTGGATGGGCAAGTGAGCACTTGTAAAGGAGAACCAGGCTGGACTCATTTGATAACAATCCACTCTTGACTAACTAACCACTCCCAAGATTAACCATTCATGAGAGCAGAGCCCTGATAACCCAGTCACCTCTTATTAGGCCCCACCTCCCAACACTATTGCATTGTGGATTAAATTTCCAACACATGAGTTTTGGGGAACACATTCAAACCATAACAGTCCCCACCTGTCAAAGTATGATAAACAAGAAAACAATAGCATCACCAGGCTTATCTTGGGCTACTATGACCAACCCCAGAGAATGCCCTGTGAACACGCTTGCCATTTGCCTTGTTTGCATCTCAGTGACTCACACTTTATAGCAGAATCTGCTCTTGCCTTGCCTAATTTTCCAGGCCTTATTATTTAGAACACTCCACTGACTTCTGACTTCCAGCATCTGTGTATTTGGGCCTTTAGGAATTCTCCAAAGCCAAGTTAAAAACTACACTGCCCTTCTAAAGAAAGGCCAGGTCTGACCAATGCCAGTGGGCTGCAGTATATGACTGTATAAATACCCCAGCTCCCTCACCTCTAGGTGTGTGCTCTTCACCATTTCCCAGTTTCCCTGTGAAATTAGATTCCAATTGTTCACTTTGCTTGCCAACTTTATGCTGTATCTTTTCTCCAGTTGCCTTTCTTTTCTTCAACATTTTCTCATTTACCTACCTGTGTTCCCTACAGTCCCATATAAACTTCTTGCACATCTTTGTACTGGGATCTGCTTCTGGGGGCGTACAAACCAAGTCATGTCCTCCTTTTCCTCTGCCTAGAATGTTGCTCCTTTCTTTTTGGCCTGAGGAACTGCTAAAGAGCTTTCAAATTGTATCTAAAAGTGTGACATCTGTAGGCAGTCTTATCTGTCACTTGATGCTGGCTTTCCCACTGCTTTGTCTGTATTCTCACAGCATTTTCTGTATACTACCTACCAATTAATATGTTGTGACTTTGTACATACATTTTTCTCCCTTTTAAGACAGGAAGTTTCATGAAGGACGATTGTCTAATTCTTTTCCTTTGTACCCAAAACAGCATGGCACATAAGTAAGTGGTGTATAAATTCTGGGCAAATTACAGAATCTCTAAAATCAAATATCCATTTATTATATACTTTTCAGAGATTCACTTCTGTCCTAAAATCTGTAATAATTTGCCTCCCTCTGCACCTTACTCTGATTATTTTATTATTACTATTACTATTATTATTATTATTATTATTTTGAGATGGAGTCTTGCTCTGTTGCAATGGTATGATATCGGCTCACTGCAACCTCTGCTTCCTGGGTTCAAGCAATTATCTTGCCTCAGCCTCCTGAATAGCTAGGACTACAGACACCCATCATTATGGCCAGCTAATTTTTGTATTTTTAGTAAAGATGAGGTTTCACCATATTAGCCAGGCTGGTCTCAAACTCCTGACCTTGTGATCTACCCACCTCAGCCTCCCAAAGTGCTGGGGTTTCAGGTGTGAGTCACTGCACCCAGCCTGGTTATTTTTATTGTAAAAAGATATGTTTGGGAACCAAGAGACAAAACTCACCATTATATATTTTTTAATATTGTCTCTTTATTGCCTGCAAACACATTGCCAAATGATAAACAAATACTGCCTCTTTTTTGGTTACAACCTTTGCCAAAAGGTGAGGATCTCAATTGTCCAACGATCCTGGGCTTGAATGCATGTGTCACTCCAAAATTCCTATGTTGGAACTTAATTCCCAAGGTGATAACATTAATAGGTGGGGCCCTTGGAGGTGATAAGACCAGGAGGGCTCCACCCTTGTGGATGGGATTAGTGCCCTTATAAAAGAGCTTGAGAGATAATATTTGTCCCTTTTCTTGATCTGTCCTTCCACCAGGAGAGGATACAGTAACTAAGCACCATCTTCAAGTAGTATCCCTCAGCAGACACCAAATCTGCTGGTACCTTGACCTTGGACTCCCTGGCCTCCAGAAATGAGAAATCAATCTATTTGTTTATAAATTATCCCATCTAAGGTGTTTTTGTTATAACAGCAAGAAGGGACCAAGGGTACATGAAAGCGTCTATGCTAAAAGTCTTAACTCTCCAACCCCATTGAGGACTTTAAGAAATACCTTAATGAAAACATATAAAAGGAAGCAAGCAACATTTCAAGAGAAAGCAGAGCTTCTAGCAAAGAATTTGCAAATATTCCATGTTCTTATCATCTGCTGTTTATACAAGAACCAGACTTTTGATGCTCCTTTTTCATTCCCAGCAGCTGGTCAATGTGCTGAAGAGAAGGAAAGACAGTTTTTCAGGCCTATACGGAGAATTTCCTCGAGGGTCTTTCAGGAATGAAATACTTCAGGAAAGAATTTTCTATGGTAGTTTAATCACACACTTTTTACTACTAAATCCTCAGATACTCATTAACAATAAAAATTAAAGCTCACTCTAATTTTTTTTTTAGTATTTCTAAAATTAAAAACAATATGCAGTGTCCTTACTTCTCTCCTTGTGTCTGGATGGACCATTGGCTTAGTAGGACTTGAGACTGGGCCCCATGGGACGCAATGGCCACGAGGCTGAGATGGGGAGTGGGAGAACAGGGATGGGGCCAGGCTCTGAGGGTATGTGGGGCTCCTCTTTGCTGAAGATGGAGCCACATAACAGGCTGAGGATTCTTCATTTGGGGCCAGGTGTTGGGGTCTCAACTATGCCTAGAAGAGCTCAATGAGAATTTGAATGGCAACCCCAGAACTACACTGGGCTGCTGTGTGGACACACAGGTGTTTCCAGGTATGTTTTACAAGGCTGGTGCAGACTTGTCTTAGAATGTCAATATTTTAATCCAACCATTTAAAAATTGTAGCATACACTTCCCATGTTTTTGCCCTTGTGTCATGAATAAACGTCTTTTAAAATGTTTGTATCTCGGCTGTTTTGAGAAGTCAGTTCTGACAGATCTTTGCTTCCACGAACATGAGGAACTTCTTTCGTTATCTTGGTTGTGTCTGTTGGGCAGGCTGTCAGTATCAGAGTCTTGACAAAATTCAGGTTTGTGTTTTTCAAAGCATGTTTCAGGGAACCTTATTCTCTTCTAGATGTTTCCTTTAAAAGTTAAATAAAATGTCTCCATAGCTAAATGAATTTGGATAATTTTGTATGTACCATGTCAATCTGTTGGAGATTCACAAAGTTCTCAGTGAAGTAACCTATTTTAACTTCATGGAACCTGACATTTCTCAACCTGTCTAACCATTGCATACTTTTCTTGGTGATATCTGCTGACATCACTCAGGGGAGAGGAACCTACTTTGAGAATTGCTCCTCTTGATTCTGTCGGAAGGACCCTCCCAAGGTCTCTATCTTCTCCCCATTCTCTGGCAAAAAGCACAGCAGAACTGTCTTAGGAGAATAGATTACCTAAGCGAAGGTTCCCCATCTCTTCACGGTGCCTCGAGGTCTGGGTGCAGCCAGGACATTTTTGTCTTCAGTAGCTTTTGCTGTTTTGATCCAAAGTGAGATCTAAATGTACTGACAACAAATGCGTTTTTTTTTCTTTGCAGAACATAAAAACAACAAGCAAACAAACAAAACTCCTATGTGTATATCATCCATTAAATTTAATGCAAATTTTTTTAGGAATTGCATATTTTTTTAGTTACAAAGAGAGGCGTTACTTTCAGAGTTTTCTCCTCAGGTTTTAACTAATTTCTAAGTGCAGAAGAGGTGGCTTTCCAGACAGTATTTCTCTGCAGAGCTGAGGCCGAGTTTCGGCATGCACTCAGTGTTTCTCCAATCATTGTAAAGTGCCCAGTGCCCTAGGTCTTAGTCATCATGAAAATAACATAAGGGATGAAACCCTGAGTGTGTGTGTGTGTGTGTGTGTGTGTGTGTGTTAGCATTCAGATGGGATGCCTTCGTGCTAAGCAATACAGTTAGAAACAAGAGAATCCTCGTTGTAAATATCATTTCTATCCTAAGTTTGGACATCCAAGATGCTTGGCCAACAGACTAACACCTCAGTTGGCTATTAAGACTTCTATGCTGTTGAGGCAGCTTGTTGTTACTAATAGATCCAACCTCTTGAGAATAGCAAAAGGAGTCGGGAATTCTCTTTCCTTAACTTGCTGTTGCAGGTGAGAGTGATTCCATGTGTTATCTTATCTGAATGCCCCAGTCTGGCATATTTTTGAAGCCATATTGGAGTAATACAGCAAGTAACTAACCAATCTTATAGAACACCATCCCTGAGCAGAGAAACATGTGGTGGAAGACCCTCTGTCACTGTAGACCCTGTTCCACTCTCTTTGAGTACCAGGGTCTCCCCTGTCTGGCTCCGGTTACCTGTGGCCATGGAGAATTGCTCTGAGAAACTCCAATGGCTGGAGCTGAGTTTCTCACTGCTGGGTTGCTGCAGGCTGGCCATTCCCACTCCTGGAGGCCGCAAGGTTGTCTGACAACCTTCTCCAAACAGCCACCCTCAGTGGGGTACCAGATGATGGTAGCTACTCCCTCCTATTGCCTCTTCAGGGCAGGGCTGATAGCCTAAGCATGCTCCATTCTTCTGTGCCGATTTTTCAAAATCATGCCCACATATTTGTTGAAAGTACTTTATCAATTTTTTTTAATTACTACTTGAGAATGGCCACCTCTTTTCAGCCTAGACCCTAACAGATACAGATAGCAACATCCCTTTCTCTGACACATTCTCAATTGTTTCCTTTGTCACCTGGTGCAAAAAGAGACTTACGTAGTTTCTGATATAACCATCGATCACCAAGAATACACCCATGCTTATGTTAGTCTGCATGCATGACATATGCATGCATGTGTGTATATTAAATGAAAGAAAGGAGAGAAATTTCTATATACATATTCCTTGAATTCCACCCACTGTAGCTGACATCAAGATCAGAGAGACTGATGCTAACACATTAAAAAGAAATTTTAACACCTCATGAATCTGCATCATCCAAGGTAGTTATTAGCATTTCCACTAAACAAATGACACCTCGCTAAATCCGGTGAAAGCATTAGACAAGAAAGTTTAAATACTGTAAGATATTTGTGGGAGAACAAAGAATAAGAAGGCTGACATATGTCTTTCTAAATAAAGATGCCAACTGTAAGAAAGACAAATCCAGCACATGTTCAGCAACTCCACTGATTTGTTATGCATTTACAGTGTTTTTAGGGAATGAGCAAAATAACAGCTAAAAATCACTGGGCATAAGCTTTGCTTCCCACCCCACTGTTAACAAAAATCATGAGTACTTCCACTAGGCCAGCAGATGTGCCCGGAGTTCTCTCAATGGTTGGATCTGCTCTCTGTATGTTCAGGCCTCAGAAAGCACAGCTTCTAAGTGACCTTTTACATAATTAATAAGCACAGAGAAGGTAGAAAGTAGTAGAAGTGTTCCCTGTTCTCCACGGAGAATGGGGAAAGAGGCCTTTAAAATGGTCAATGAACATTGACGTATTGCCTTTGGCCAAGCAGTCTTGGAACAATTAGCACTTTGTTTTCAGAGATTACTGCAAAGGCCCTGATGTACTTTTTTTGTAGCAGTGGAAAAGAGATTGGACAATTGGTCCTCCTACTTGACTATAAGCTCCAGGAATGGACCATGTACAATAGTCCTCCCTTGTTCATGGTTTCGCTTTCTGTGGTTTCAGTTACCAGCAGTCAACCAGCACCCAGAAATATGAATAGGAAGTTCTAGAAATGAACAATTTATCAGTTTTAAATTGCATGCTGGGCGAGTGCCTGCCAGCGTGTGTGCCCCTACGGAAGCTGAGACTGCGCTTCCTGTGAGGATCTGGCAAGAGCAGTGGCACTGCTTGAGGGAGTCAGAGGAGACAGTGGCCCGGGCGGGGCAGGCGGGAAATCAGCTGAGGTGGCAGATCCGGCCCAGTCCAGCCGGAGGGAAGTCAGCGGAGGTGGCTGCTGCAGCTCCGGCCTGGCCCGGCCACAGGGAAGTCAGTGGAGGTGGCAGCAGCCCCAGCCGGTGGGAAGTCGGCGGCTGCAGCGGTCCCAGCCTGGATGTAGAGAAGTCAGCGGCAGTGACGGCAGCTGCCCAGCCAGAGGGAAGTCAGCATAGGCGGCGGTGGCTCCGGCCCGCCCCGGCTGGAGGGAAGTCAGCAGAGCAGGTGGGGGCCCTGGCCCGACCAGAGGAAAGTCAGCGGAGGCAGAGGCGGCGGCGGTGGTGGCGTGGTCAGACCGAGTTTCTTTGGAGAAGCCATGGTGGCTTCCACGTGATGGTGAAGGAGGCAGTTCTCTGCGGTAAGTGGCAGGGACTTGTACCCCACTGGGAATCCTCCAGACCTCCCTGCTTTTTCTCCATGGCTCCCTGCTTTGTCTGGGATGGGTTGGTGGCACTATGGGGTGCAACACTGCCAGCGGCAAGGGATGGGTTCAGGGTGCTGTCAGGTGTTATGTTGCCCCCAGTGGTGGGAAGGTGTGAGATCCACGACATCATTGCCTGTGTCTGGGAGCTGGTTGGGGGCACTATCCAAGGCTGCATCGCCCACATGGGGAGTGGGTTGGGGGCACTGTCTGGTGCTGCAGTGCTGGTGGTGGAGGATGGTTTAGGGGGTGCTACACTGCTGGTGGGGGGGAGTGCCCGAGCATAGCCTGGGTGGTCCCAGTGGTTCCCATGGAGCGGGAAGCCCAGGCACCATGGTGTCTCCAGTCTCTACTCCCTAGCCAGTTTGGGCCAAAAAGAGATGCTGTGGCCTTTGGAGGGTGGGTGTGAGTGCCTTCACTGAAACTGGCCCATGCCACCCAGTGGCTAGCATGACAAGGTGGGGGGTCTAATGCTACCACTCTCTTGTGTCCCATTCTAGGCTTTTCTGGCTTTGCCAGCCCAGCTGCTCCATGCCACAAGAAGGAAGAACTATCTGCTGCACGCTGGAGGCTGGAGCCTGTGGCACCATGGCTCGCCTCACTGCAGTGGGTGGCAGCGATGGAGACTGCAGAGTGCCAGAGAGGTAGGAGCATGGCTGGCTGCCACCAGGGCAGGGATGGGTGCAGAGGTGGCTAGGTGGCAGCCTCTCAGGTGGCCTTTGTCCCTGGGCCCCCCCCCTGCTGTTTATGACAGGCAGAGCTGGGGTTGCCACCGCTTCTGATGCACTGTGTGCAGGTGGCAGCTACAGTTGAGCTGTAGGGTGGCAGTGCTGGTTCCCACCCTTCTGTTCCTTTTTGTCTCTGGTCCAGGGCACTGGTCGCAGGCGCTGGTTACCTATAGCCACTGGGATGGGCTGGGAGCCAGTTCCAGTCCTCCTCCTGCTGCAGGGCCTGATTTACGCACCGCAGCAGGATCTGGCCTTTAGGTCAGCATTGCTGGTGAAAGCGGGCAGGATCAGGGTTGCCACCATGCTGCTGAATGCCATCTCTAAGTAGCAGATGCAGCAGAATGCACAGGAGGCTGCAGGGATGGTCTCAGACAGCCTGGGAGTTGCTCAAGGCACCTCCCCCCACCCTAAGATCATGCTTCCTTGGCCCAAGCCCAGAGTGTGGGGTCACAGGCTCTGGGCCCACTGCAGCACCCAGGATGAGTCTGAATGTCAGTTTCCATCACCCTGTAGCTGCACCGCCGACCACCTAAATTAGGCACCATCGTGACATCTGGCCCTGGGATTCCTGCTGCTGGTGGGGGAGGACAGGGCCAGGGGTTGCCACTGATGCTGACTTGCGCCATTTCCAGGTGGCAGCTGTGGCTGAGCCCATGGCAGATTCTTGTGGGGCTGTTCCCCAAGGGCATGGGGGTCGGGGAGTGTACCGCCATCCCACCCTAGGGTCCACTTTTCCTTAGGCCTGGCCCAGAGCACAGGTTTGCAGCCACTGGGCACTGTGCAGCCACAGAGTTGTGACTGAGTGCCTCCTGCCCTGCTGCACCTGTGGGCTGACTGTGGCATTTTCTGGTCCTAGGTTCCATGCTACTGGGGTCAGTGTCCAGGGATGCCACCGCTGCTGCCCCATGCCATGTGTAGGCTGCTACGGCAGCTGATCCCAGAGCAGAGGCTGTCAGAGCTGGTCCCAGATAGCCTGAAGGTCGCCCAGTGCACCAGCCAAAGGGTCCGTTCTTTCTTGGCCCACACCCAGAGTGAGGATTACAGGCTCTGGGCACTGCACCACTGGCATGGGGAGACAAGTGGTGGGGGCTCCCTTACCTGCTGCACACAAAGCCCAGGTTGTCGGGAGTCAGCTCTCTCTCCAGCATGCCCCAGTCTCATCCTTGGTCAGCCCAGAGCACAGAGGCCCACTCAGTCCTGGCTCCATATCTGTGCCAAGCAGGCACAGAGCCCCAGAGCCTCAGCAGCTTTGTCTGTGGCTGGGCTAAACTGGTGCCTGCCTCATCTTGACCATCTGCCCAAGTGGGCACAGCCTCCAGCATTGCTTCCCAGACAGCTCCAGGGTGCTTCCTCCCTGGCCCCTTCTTCTGGCTCCCAGTCCCAACAGCAAACCACCCCCACCCCAGGCAGCACATCTGTTTCCCATGGGGCACTTACTGCTTGGCCTCCCAAAGTGCTGGGATTACAGGCATGAGCCACTGTGCCCAGCCTGTGGGAACTGTTTTAAATGTCGGCTGAGAAGAGGAAACATTGAAAAGTGGCAGGGAAACAGCATTTCCTGACCACACACCCCATACCAGGCATCTATCGGAAGCTCTGCTAGGAAAACATATTCAGAGAGGTCTGGTAACTTGCATCAGGTCACACAGCAAGTGAGACGCAGAGCGGTAGGCAAACCCAGGCTTCTGGGCTAGTTTCTCCCCCTGTCACATGGCCCTGGGCCACCTCTCAGGCACAGCAGAAACCCACCCAGGAAGACAAACCTCGAGGGCTGACAAGTTTGGAAAGTCAGGAAATCTCTCGTGCAAGGCTGAGACCTTTGACGCCCCTGGGGGAGTGGACTAGGGGAACTGGGCCAGGCATGTGAACACCAGGCTGATGACACTTACCAGCTGCCTCCTAACGAAACCCACCCCAGGGCCTTTGCCCTTGCTGCCTCCTCACCACAATCACCCCAGGGCCTTTGCCCCAGCTGCCTCCTCACCACAATCACCCCAGGGCCTTTGCCCCAGCTGCCTCCTCACCACACCCACCCCAGGGCCTTTGCCCCAGCTGCCTCCTCACAACACCCACCCCAGGGCCTTTGCCCCTGCTGCTTCCTCACCACACTCACCCCAGTCAAATGGTATTTCTGGTTCTAGATCCTTGATGAATTGTCACACTGTCTTCCATAATGGTTGAACTAAAGTAATATTTTTCTTAAGCTGCTTATTGGTGATATGTACTCTCAAAGCAGAAACAGCCAAGTATGTTATTTTCACAGATGGCAGACTACACAAGTGTGTTTCCAAAATCTCTGGTTACTTGGGTTTCTAACCCTTCTCCTAAACTATGTAGATGGTATTCTAGTGTTTCCCTGAATTTTCTATCACAGAGGAAAAGCCAGGGTCAGCCTGATTTTCATTCATTTCTAAGTACTTTTCTCAGATCCCGGAATGGTTTAAAGTTTTCCAGCATTTCAATACATATTCTGCCAGGATATGTCTATGTTAGGATTTCTTTTTATAGAACATGATTTTTTTAAAGGTCAAGAAAAAATGTTCTCTTTGTTGTTTTTTTCATTAGTTTGTTGTTCTACTCTATTCTGAAAATGTTATTGTATTAATCTTGGAGTTTTAAAATTGGGTTTCACGGAGCTCTCGTCGTCATCACTTTCATTCTGTTACCCTTTTCCTCTACATTCTTGGAGGACTTCTCCAATGTATTCTGAATATCACTGATTTGATTTTCTTTTCTTTGAGGTATCAGTCTTGCTGATGAATATCTTCACGTGGATATTTAAATGCTCTTTGATTCCTTGCAAATCTTTTTGTTTTTTTAATTGTACTTTAGGTTCTGGGTTACATTTGCAGATCATGCAGGATTGTTACATAGGTACACACAGGGGAATGTGGTTTGCTGCCTCCATCCCCCCTTCACCCACATCTGGCATTTCTCCCCATGTTATCCCTCCCTGACCTCCCCATCCTCCCCTGCTGTCCCTCCCTTGGCCCCCACAACAGACCCCAGTGTGTGATGTTCCCCTCCCTGTGTCCATGTGTTCTCATTGTTCAACACCTGCCTATGAGTGAGAGCATGTGGTGTTGACTTGCTGTTCTTGTGTCAGTTTGCTGAGAATGCTGGTTTCCAGATTCATCCATGTCCCTACAAATGACATGAACTCATCATTTCTTATGGCTGCATAGTATTCCATGGTGTATATGTGCCACATTTTCCTTGTCCAGTCTACCGTCGATGGGCATTTGGTTTGGTTCCAGGTCTTTGCTATTGTAAACAGCACCATTATGAACATATGTGTGCATGTGTCCTTATAATAGAATGATTTATAATCCTCTGGGTATATTACTCAGTAATGGGATTGCTGGGTCAAATGGAATTTCTATTTCTAGGTCCTTGAGGAAGCGCCACAGTGTCTTCCACAATGGTTGAACTAGTTTACACTCCCACCAGCAGTGTAAAAGTGTTCCTATTTCTCCACATCCTCTCCAGCATCTGTTGTCTCCAGATTTTTTAATGATTGCCATTCTGACTGGCATGAGATGATATCTCAATGTGGTTTTGATTTGCCTTTATCTAATAATCAGTGATGATGAGCATTTTTTCATATGTTTGTTGGCCTCATATATGCCTTCTTTTGAAAAGTGTCTGTTCATATCGTTCTCCCACTTTTGGATGGGTTTGTTTGCTTTTTACTTGTATATTTGTTTTAGTTCTTTGTAGATTCTGGATATTAGCCCTTTGTCAGATGGGTAGATTGCAAAATTTTTTCCCATTCTGTTGGTTGCTGGTTCACTCTGTTGATTGTTTCTTTTGCTGTACAGAAGCTCTGGAGTTTAATTAGGTACCAGTTGTCTATTTTGACTTTTGTTGCCAACAATTTTGGTGTTTTAGTCATGAAGTCCTTGCCTATGTTACATATATTCCTTTTCATTTCCTTCCATTTCATTTTTCTTTCTTTCTTTTTTCCTTTTTTTTCTTTTTCGTGAGACAGAGTCTTGCTCTCTTGCCTAGGCTGGCATGCAGGGGTACAATCTCAGCTCACTGCAAGCTTTGCCTCCTGGATTCAAGCACTTTTCTGTCTTTGCTTCCTGAGTAGCTGGAATTACAGGTGCCCACCACCACTCCTAGCTAATTTTTTGTATTTGGGAAGTAATTGGGTCACGAGAGCAGGAACCTACAACACAGGGCTGTTTCCTAAATGCCGGGGCCAGTTTAATTCTCACAAGCTCTCATTTTGTGGAGGAGGAATTCCCACCCGAAGGCCCCACCACCAGGATGTGGAAAAGCTGAACCTGAGCTCAGGTCATGCCAACTAAATCCAGGTTCCTGTCACCCCATGACGCAGCCTTCAAGCCCCTTCCCCCTGGAATGATGACATAGTGGTGGGCTTGGCCATGCACTGCCTGACCCTGGCCGGCAGTGAACCGAGGAGACCACCCAGCTGGGACCCAGGGAGGAGGCAAAGAGGAGACCCCTCAGCAGGGTCTGTTTCTCCTGCCTGGGCTTGTCCTGCACCCAGGGCCAGTGTGGTCCTAAGGGGTATCTAGAACCCTCCCTTCCTCTTCCCTCTAAGTCTCCCCAGAGCTTCAGAAAAGTCCATGCTTAAAGATTCAGTGAAATCATTTTCAGAAAAAAGGATACATACATGCATACATACATACAAAAGCAGGAGTGTACAAGCCTGGGCAACATAGCAAGACCCCACCTCTACCAAAAAAAAAAAAAAAATTAGCCAGGCATGGGGATGCATGCCTGTTGTCCCAGCTACTCAGGAGGCTGAGTCAGGAGGATCGCTTGAGCCTAGGAGTTCAAGGCTGCAGTGATCTGTGATTGTGCCGTTGCACTCCAGCCTGGGTGACAGAGCAAGATTGTGCCTCTAAAAATAAAAATTTTTAAAAAGGAAAAATAAATAAATA